CTTTTTCTTGATTTTTTTTTCTGAGACAGGCTCGCTCCATGGCCCAGGCTGGAGTACAGTGGTAGGACACCACCATGCCCGGCTAATTTTTTGCATTTTTAATGGAGACTGGGTTTTGCCACATTAGCCAGGTTGGTCTCAAGCTCCTGACCTCAGGTGATCCGCCTGTCTCAGCCTCCCAAAGTGCAGGATTACAGGTGTGAACCACCGTGCCCGGCTGGTTTGACCTGAATCTTGACAGGTAACCCTGGCATCATATAATAAGGGGTACCCTTGGCTGGGCGTGGTGGCTCACGCCTGTAATCCCAGCACTTTGGGAGGCTGAGGCGGGTGGATCACAAGGTCAGGGGATCGAGACCACCCTGGACAACATGGTGAAACCTCGTCTCAATTAAAAAAAGAAAAAAGAGGTACCCATATTTACTTATCATTATTAACTAAAGTGGCCAAAATAAGGGATTTTACTCCAAACAGAATTTCACTCTAATAAATCTTGGTAAACAACTGAGTCATCAGATGAATTTATTATTCCAAATAAGTTATTCTCATGGGTTTACTTACATGATAGTCAGCTTCAGGAAGTTTAATACCAGGAAATAAGTCACTAGTTATTCCATTAAATAAAGGTATATCATGTGATAAGAACTTTGGTTCATTTACATCTTTAATTGATCGAAGAAGCTAAAATTACCCCAAAAGTGCAATGTAAGTTAGTTGCCAGCATTTGCAATCCCACTTTTCCCTCCTCCCACCCTGCCTCCCCACCCCACTGCCCTGGCAAAAAGTCAAAGTTTATTTTACATTGCTCTATGGAATCCCTATAATAAAAAGCCAATACTATGCTTATCAAGCCAAAAAGTCGTTGTATTCATATGAAGTGTAAGAATAACATAACCCAAAAAACTGTCATTTCGACCTCATATGAAAAGACAAAGCACAACCTTCTCAAGTAAGTGCCTATCTGTAGTTCCCGAGCAACCTCACTAAAGAAAATTATCTTTCTACTGAAACTTTCACAATGTATTTAATACTTACAAGTATATCTTCATTTTCATTTGGATATTTTAGTTTTAGATTGCCAGCAGCCACTAAAACTGCTTTTACTGCTCGCATTCCATAGTCATAATGAAATTGTGATGAGAGCTGCTCTGAGCAAAGCCTATAGGTCATCACTATCTTCACAGACAGAGGTTTTGCATTCAAAAATCCGTAGGAGTAGAGGGAGATTTCTGCTATAAGGGCATAGTTTGGAACCATCATAGCCACTGTTCTAAAAAGAACCTGAAGTATAAAATAAATGAAATATATTACTTACATAAATGAAGCTGTTTTTAAGCTTAGCATAAGCATTCAAAGATGCGGTGTTGATTTTCAAGTTTATTCCTCAAATGCAGCACCTTTTTCTAAACTCGACTTTTTTCAGTAGTACTTTTAACATTTGTATTCACTTAGTATTTTTTTTTCGGAAGTCTAAAAAAGTTTTGGGAGCGAAATTATAATTACATGGAAAAAAATATCATTTTGAAATGGATTATGCTAGGTTTTTTTAATTCACAAACTTAAACTCTTAAAAAACTATTGTCCAGGCACGGTGGCTCATGCCTGTAATCCCAGCACTTTGAGAGGCCAAGGCGAGTGGATCACGAGTGAAACCCTGTCTCCAATAAAAATACAAAAAATTAGCTGAGCGTGGTGGTGGGTGCCTGTACTCCCAGATACTCAGGGGGCTGAGGCAAGAGAATCACTTGAACCTGGGAGGTGGAAGTTGCAGTGAGCTGAGATTGCGCCACTGTACTCCAGCCTGGGTGACAGAGCAAGACTCCGTCTCAAAAATAAATAAATAAAACTTAAAAATTACCTTAAGATTGTCCGGCAATTCAGAGCGTCCTGCATAGCCAGGATTCATGGTAATTGCTACAAAACAATTTGGATTGAGCTTAAGTTCTGTCCCTTCAAAAACAAACACTTCCAACTTCTGTTGAATGGCTCTCTGAATGCAAAGGATCTGTTGAGCTACCACTGACAACACTTCCAACTCAATTCGATTGAATTCATCAAAGCAAGCCCAAGCTCCAGAAGAAGCCAATCCTTTAAAAAACTAAGGACAAGGAAAAAACGGAAATGATTTTATTAGAAAAGTATCATCTCTTAAAACAAATATCTAACATTTTAAGTCAGAATTGAAAGTTACATCTAATAAAATTCCAAGAATAAAAAGAATGTATTTACTCCTAAAATGAGAGTTCAAGTAATATTCAAACCACATTCATATGTCTAAACATGAGTTAGCTGTAAGTTTGTAACATTTAATACTATTGATTCAATAATTTAACTACCTTTCCCATTGCTAGATAATCTAGCCCATCAGAACAGTTGAACACCACACACTGCACAGCAAGAGCTTTAGCCAAATCTTTGGTGGTTTCAGTTTTTCCTGTGCCTGCTGGCCCCTCTGGAGCACCTCCAAGGTTTAAATAGAAAGCACCTATCTGAAATGAAAAATATGTGTGAAAAGAAATCCATGCTTAAATGTAAAAACAAAACAGACCCTTGTTTACCAAATGAATTTAATCTTTTCTATAGCTTCAGAGAAGCCATTAAATAATTATATTGTTCAGTTAATTTTTAGCACAAATTTTTCTAGCTGTACAAAGAAAAAGCAGTTTAAAATGTTCAAAACAGTGAAAATGTATCAAAACTTCCTTGTCTTCTGACACTTTCATAGGTATCCCATTTACCTTTAAAAACAAAGAAAATCTAGGCTTGTGGGAGTAAAATTAGTTCAGGAAGGTTTTTGTTAGAAGTAGCTGTGGAGATGGTTGTGGAGGACAGTAATGACACATTCTGGATGGCTTGCTGCAAAGGGGGTTAAAAAAACACACTGAAAAGTGAGAGCTATAAATGGCACCCATCATTGGGAAGAGAAACAGATGACCTATTATATAATTTTGTTTATGATTCACCTAGCTATTGCCTTTTACTTTTGGTATGTTCTCCATTTTCTACTTTCCCATAAAACTGTTCTGTGCTTCTTTAAGGTCTGCACCACAGGCCATGCCATGGCACCCTCTGTTACCTGCACGTACACTCCAGGTGATTTCCTGGAATTAGAAAGTTTGAAATAACTGAAAGACCATGAAAAGGGGAAGAATGATCAATCGCTGCAGCATCTAATTAACTGGACACATTCTTCTATTGTTCCTCATTCCACCTCAACTGATAAGGCAATTAAACTTTGTAACTGACCTTGATCAACCTTGTGACTCCAGACCCTATGATCCCTTCCTAGCTTGCAAAAGCCATCCTGAACTGTAACTTCTGTAACTTTCCACTGCCAATCCCAAACCTAAAAAACTAACTCCTATCCCACTGCCCTCTGCTGACTCTTTTCAGATTCAGCCACCCTCACCTGGGTGATTAAATAGCCATGCTGCTCACACAAAGCCTGTTTAGGGGGTCTCTTCATTCAGAGTGTGCGTTTAACATCTGGTGTTGAAACCCGGGACAGGGGTACTCCTCTGGGGAGACCAGACTCCTGTTGCCACTCCCCCTCTAGGAAGAGACCCACCGAGACCTCAACACATCAGATCAGGCCAGCAGCTCTCGTTTAGCTTGCCGAACAGCTCTCTCGCCACCCTCAGATTGGGTAAGCAGTCCACCCCTCTTTCTCTTTTCTTTTAGAGAAAAGGAGACAAGTCTCTCCCTTTCTCTCTCTTTTCCTTTAGAGACAGAGAGATACTCTATCTCTAAAGGAAAAGCCAGACCCTGACCCTCTCCCCGCTCCTCCTATTCCTGATGCTTCCCCACAACCTAACCCCTCTCCAGTCAGCACTCTGCCTCCCTAACTCCCTCCTGGTACCAGTCCACCTCATACTAGATCTGGTTTGCAATTCGACCTTGGGAATAGCCCTTCCCCGCCTGCCCAACAGTTCCCCCTTCGAGAGGTGGCTGGAGCTGAAGGCATAGTCAGAGTCCATGTTCCCATCTCCTTGTCTGACCTCTTTCAGATTAGCCAACAATTAGGCTCCTTTTCCTTAGACCCTAACAAAATACATACAGGAATTCCAATACTTGACCCAGTCTTATAGTTTAACCTGGAATGACTTAAATGTCATCCTGACTTCCACTCTCACCCCAGAAGAGTGAGAAAGAGTTTACACCTGGCTCAGTCTCACACTGATGATTGCCAGCACCTATAGCCTACTCTCCAGGAAGGTTCCAGGGCAGTTCCCCAGGAAGAGCCTGACTGGGAGTACCAGGCAGGTTCCCCTGGTATAGGAAGGTGAGAGTACGTGATTTCATGCTTTAGTAGAAGGACTAAAAAAATCAGCACGTAAAGCTGTCAACTATGACAAACTTAAACCACCCAAGGCAAAGATGAAAACCCTGCTACGTTCATGGCCCACTTAGCAGCCAACCTTAGACAATTTACTGCTTTAGACCCAGAAGGCTGTCTTATCCTTAATATGCATTTCATTACCCAATCTTCCCCTGATATTAGGAAAAAACTTCAAAAACCAGAATCTGGCTCTCAAACACCACAACAGGAACTAATCAACCTCACCTTTAAGGTGTTTAATAACCAAGGAGAAGCTGCCAAGCAGCAACATATTTCAGAATTAAAAATGTTTGCCTTCGCTGTAAGACAGACCCCAGCCACTCCTTTAGCTGGCAGAAGTTTCAGACAACGAAACCCACAGTGTTCAGGCTTCTCTTCCCAACCTCCTCCCGCAAAGCCTTGCTTCAAATGCAGAGAACCTGGCCACTGGGCCAAGGAATGCCAGCAGCCCTGGATTCCTCCTAAGTTGTGTCCCATCTGTGTGGGACCCCACTGGAAGTCAGACTGCCAGACTCAAACTTCTGTCCTTAAGGCTCTAGGAGCCCAACCCCATATCCCTTAGGCTAACTCTTTCCCTGATCTCCTCAGCTTAGTGGCAGAAGACTGACGCTGCCTGATTGTCTTGGAAGCCCCCTGCACCATCACGCCGAGCTTCGGGTAACTCTTACAGTGGAGGATAAGTCTGTCCCCTTCCTGACCGATACGGGGGCTACCCACTCCACATTGCCTTCTTTTCAAGGGCCCATTCCCCTTGCCCCCATAACTGTTGTGGGTATTGACACCAAGCCTTTAAACCTCTTAAAACTCCCCAACTCTGGTGCCAAATTGGAAAGCATTCTTTTGCACACTCCTTCTTAGTTATTCCTACCTGTCCAGTTCCCCTACTAGGCCGAGACATTTTAACTAAATTATTTGGCTCTCTGATCCTGCACTACAGCCACATCTCACAGCTGCCCTTTTGCCTGATTCAAAGACTCCCTCGCAACCTTCTCTCACATCTCCCTACCTCAACCCACGTGNGTGGAGGATAAGTCTGTCCCCTTCCTGACCGATACGGGGGCTACCCACTCCACATTGCCTTCTTTTCAAGGGCCCATTCCCCTTGCCCCCATAACGTTGTGGGTAATGACCGCCAAGCCTCTAAACCTCTTAAAACTCCCCAACTCTGGTGCCAACTTGGACAGCATTCTTTTACACACTCCTTCTTAGTCATTCCTACCTGTCCAGTTCCCCTACTAGGCCGGAACATTTTAACTAAAGAATCTGTCTGACTATTCCTGCACTACAGCCACATCTCACAGCTGCCCTTTTGCCTGATTCAAAGACTCCCTCGCAACCTTCTCTCACATCTCCCTACCTCAACCCACGTGTATGGGACACCTCTACTCCTTCCTTAGCAACAGATCATTCGCCCCTTCCCATCTCATTAAAACCTAATTACCCTTACCCTGCTCAATGCCAGTATCCCATCCCACAACAGGCTTTAAAGGGACTAAAGCCTGTTATCACCCACCTATTACAACATGGCATTTTAAAGCCTACTGATTCTCCTTACAACTCCCTATCCTACCTGTCCAGAAACCAGACAAATCCTATAGGCTAGTCCAAGACCTTTACCGCATCGATATTGTACTTCCCATCCGTCCTGTTGTACCCAACCCTTATACCCTCCTGTCCTCAGTACGCTCTTCTACAACTCATTATTCTGTTCTTGATCTCAAAGATGCCTTTTTCACCATCCTTTTACACCCCTCCTCTCAGCCTCTTTTCACCTTCACCTGGACTGACCCTGACACCCACCAGTCTCAGCAACTCACCTGGACTGTTCTGCCCAAGCTTCAGAGATAGCCCTCACTACTTTATTCAAGCCCTTTCTCAGGATCTACTTTCCTTCTGTCCATCTGCTTCTCACCTTATTCAATACGTGGACAATCTTCTTCTTTGCAGTCCCTCTTACAAATCTTCCCAGCAAGATACTCTCCTGCTTCTTCACCAACTATACTCAAAGGGGTATCACATATCCCCTTCCAAAGCCCAAATTTCTTCCCCATCCATCACCTATCTTGGCATAATCCTCCAGCAGAACACACACGCTCTCCCTGCTGACCATGTCTGGTTGATCTTCCAGACCCCCAACTCCTTCTATTAAATAGCAGCTTCTCTCCTTCCTAGGCGTGGTAGGATACTTCTGCTTCTGGATACCAGGCTTTGCCTTACTGGCAAAACCACTCTATAAGCTTTCAAAAGGAGACTTAGCTAACCCCATAGACCCTAAATTCTTCCCTCATTCTTCTTTTCATTCCCTGGAAAAAAAGCCCTGGAAACAGCTCCTACACTGGTGCTTCCCAACTCCTCCCAAGCCTTCTCTTTACACATAGCAGAAGTGAAAGGCTGCGCAGTTGGAGTTCTTACACAAGAACCAGGCCCACGACCCATAGCCTTTCTGTCTGAACAACTTGATCTTACAGTTCTAGGCTGGCCAACGTGCCTGCATCCCATGGTAGCCACTGCTGTTTTACTCCTGGAATCCCTTACAATTACAGGCTATGCTCCGCTTACCCTCTGCAGTTCTCATAACTTTCAAAATCTAATTTCCTCCTCACACTTGGCACACATACTTTCTGCCCCCCTCGACTCTACTTATTATTCATCGAAACCCCCACAATTACCATTGCCTCTGGTCCAGATTTCAACCTGGCCTCACTTAATACCTGACACAAACCCTGAACCCCATGACTGTGTCTCCCTAATCCATATGGCATCCTCCCCATTGCCTCATATTCCTCTCTTTCCTATTCCAGACTCAGACCACACTAAGGTTTATTCATGGCAGTTCCTCAAAGTCCAACTGGTCATCACCAGCAAAAGCAGGTTATGCAATAGTGTCTGTCACATCTGTTACTGAAGCTGCTATGCTTCCCCCTTCTACCACGTCTCAACAAGCTGAGCTTATTGCTTTAATCAGTGCTCTCACACTTGCAAAAGGATTGCGTGTCAATATCTACACCGATTCTAAACATGCCTTCCACATCCTTCTGTTTTATGGGCAGAAAACCATGCTGTTTTATGGGCAGAAAACCATGCTGTTTTATGGGCAGAAAAAGGATTTCTCACTACACAAGTGTCCTCCATTATTAACAATGTCGCCCT